TATTTTTTGTTTGTGATGGGTGAGAAAAAAAAAATGTGTGTGTGTATATATATATATATATATATATATATATATATATATAGAAACCACATTCTAGAAACCACAAGTTTTCCTGTATGCCACCAGCTCTTCTAAATGTAAAGTTCAGCAAGTACTCAAGCATTTTAATTGTAAGGCCCCAATCAGACAGAACGCTTTTTTTTTTTTTGCAGTGAGAGGTGCCTTTTTAAAAAAAAATTCTATTGGCAGTAAGCGTTTTGCGCACTGTTTATGCGCCCGAGCGCCTCACGTTTTAGCCGCCTGCTGCGCCTTGCATTTTTGTAGGAGAGCTCTGAATGCCTGAAGTTGAAAAAAAATCAACTCTGAGCAGAAAAGCACCTGACATCATTCGTGTTTTTTTTCCCCATTGTCCAATCAAATGAATAGAGAGGCGGGCCTTTTGTTGTGGTGGTTTACGGGTTCTTGAAACGTCTGGAGACTGCAATGATGAACTTGTGGTTTCTATATATATATATATATATATATATATATATATATACATACACACATGCATCAAGAACAACTGTCATGAAAAGTCATGGGGCCTTTGAATATTGTTGTGGAGAAGGTGAGGCTTTTGAGTCAAAAAGGTTGAGAACCACTTGTATAGGTGATCATTCTGGCCAATATATTGATCTATCATTTACCACAGTGCATCAGATGGCAAAAAGTGTACACTCTGTCACACACTTTATTCACAGTTGCTCTATTTTTTATGCTTTTTTTGTTTGTTTTGGCAGATTGAACATCTCTATGGTCTAACAGTGTTTGAAAACTATCTGTATGCCACCAACTCTGACAACGGCAACATGCAGCCCAAAACCAGTGTGATCAGAGTCAACCGATTCAACAGCTCTGACTTCCAGGTGGTGACACGCGTGGATAAGGGCGGTGCCCTTCACGTTTACCACCAGAGACGTCAGCCTGCAGGTACAACTGTGGGATTTTATTGTTTCTAAATGTAAAGTTCAGCAAGTGTTCAAGCATTTTAATTGTAAGGCCCCAATCAGACAGAACGCTTTTTTTGCAGTGAGAGGTGCCTTTTTTAAATTGTTTTCTATTGGCAGTAAGCGTTTTGCGCACTGTTTATGCGCCCGGGCGCCTCACGTTTTAGCCGCCTGCTGCGCCTTGCATTTTTGTAGGAGAGCTCTGAATGCCTGAAGTTGAAAAAAAATCAACTCTGAGCAGAAAAGCACCTGACATCATTCGTGTTTTTTTTCCCCATTGTCCAATCAAATGAATAGAGAGGCGGGCCTTTTGTTGTGGTGGTTTACGGGTTCTTGAAACGTCTGGAGACTGCAATGATGGAGGAGAAACTTGTGGTGGCTGTCGCAGGTTACCTGGAGCTGTATTTTTTAAAGTTTTTGCTAATATGACAGTTTACTTAATAGCAAACCAAAGATTTTAGAGCACTCACGCTATAATTCTTGATTAGACTGACAGGACAGCTGATTCAGTGGTTGCCTAGCAACATAAAAAAAACACAGCACGGTGCGCCACACATTTTCAAACCTGAAAAATGCGTTCTCTCTGATTGGGGCCTAAGGCAGCATAATTCACTCTCTTTTGGGAGAGGTACATTTTTACCTGTCTGACTCAGTACTATTCATTGTGGTGTATTTTTTTAAGTTTTTGCTAATATGACAGTTTACTTAATAGCAAACCAAAGATTTTAGAGCACTCGCGCTATAATTCTTGATTAGACTGACAGGACAGCTGATTCAGTGGTTGCCTAGCAACATAAAAAAAACACAGCACCGTGCGCCACACATTTTCAAACCTGAAAAATGCGTTCTCTCTGATTGGGGCCTAAGGCAGCATAATTCACTCTCTTTTGGGAGAGGTACATTTTTACCTGTCTGACTCAGTACTATTCATTGTGGTTTCCCCACTGGTCCCTAATATTAAAATTAGGCTTTTGTGTTCGTCCTCTCAGTCCGTAGTCACGCATGTGCTCCTGATCAGTTTGGGAAGCCAGGCGGCTGCTCCGATATCTGCCTACTGGGTAATAGTCACAAGAGCCGAACCTGCCGCTGCCGTTCAGGTTTCAGCCTAGGCAGTGACGGAAAGTCCTGCAAGAGTGAGTAAAGTCTCAATTCAGCCTGCTCAAACCACTCTAAACCAGTTTCAAACAGTGATACATAATTCCCCATTATAGGGCTTTCTTGCATATAATAAATTCTGTTTTTTTCTCCTCAGAACCAGAGCATGAGCTCTTCCTGGTGTACAGTAAAGGCCGGCCTGGTGTTATTCGTGGTATGGACATGCATGCCAGGGTGTATGATGAGCACATCATCCCCATTGAGAACCTGAATAACCCAAGAGCGCTGGACTTCCACGCTGAGACCGAATTCATCTATTTCGCTGATGCCACCAGCTACATCATCGGCCGCCAGAAGATTGATGGCACTGAAAGAGACATCATAGTGAAGGATGGTGAGTGCAGAATGATGCTGGGATGGTTTTTGTTAGAGTGATATTGAAGGTGGATGAATTAGACGGACAACTCCTCCATATCTCTCTCTCTTCTCCATCCCATTAATTTTGTCTCTTTTCCACAGGTATTCACACAGTAGAAGGTATCGCTGTGGACTGGATGGGGCAAAACTTGTATTGGACTGATGATGGACCCAAAAAGACCATCAGTGTGGCCAAACTCGAGAAAGCCTCTCAGACCCGCAAAACTCTTATTGAGGGCAAAATGACCCATCCTAGAGCCATAGTAGTAGACCCTTCTCATGGGTAAATTAATTATTTTTGCTTGATTCCACAATTTTAGAAGCCTGCCAAAAAATAAATAAATAAATCATACACCGGCAAAATATCTACTTTATTGTCATGAAATGTTAACAATTTTATGTATGTTATTTATTCACAATACACTAATAATTCTCATTGGCTTTTAGTGACCACGTTAACCTACCAAACCAGATTACATGCTCCCTACATACAGATAAACTAGTTAGAGTTGCACTAGAGTTGTTTACTTGAATCTACAGATTTGACTGAATGTGTAAATCCATGCTGTTTGCAGAATGATGTACTGGAGTGACTGGGAGGAGGAGCCTAAAGAGACCAATCGTGGCAGTATAAAGAAGGCCTGGATGGACGGTTCAAATGCTGATATCCTGCTTACTTCTAAAACTGTGCTGTGGCCCAATGGCCTCAGCCTGGACAGCCAGCAGGGCATCTTGTACTGGGTGGATGCATACTACGACCGCATCGAGATGGTGCTTCTCAACACCACAGAACGCAGGGTGAGGAAACACAAGCGTTTAAGGCAAACAAGGAAGCTGAAGTTAGCGTCTTGCATAAATTGAATTAACACATAAAGCAAAAACATCCTATGACCATTCTTTTTGCAAAAATTATCAAATTGTTAAAAAAAATAATGTTTTGTATATAAGGCACATTACTATCTTGCTCTGACAAAAGTGATTGAATGCAACTGACATCATAATTACGACTTTCCAACTTCAATTTGTATTAAAAAACACTTTTCTGTTCATCCAGACAGTATATGAAGGACAGGAGCTGAACCATCCCTTTGGCCTGTGCCACTATAAGGACTTCCTGTTCTGGAATGAGTACCGCAGTGGAGGAATCTACAAACTGGACCGGAACACCAAGAAGGCCACCTTGCTACGCAGTGAACGACCTCCAATCTATGAGATTCGCACCTATGACGCACAACAACAACAAAGTACTGAACACCCTGAGCATTTCTGTTTGAAAATTAGTCTTTTATGAGTCATATGTAAAACATGAGCTGACAGATCAAACAAAGGCTTAATTGTGTTGTTTTGTATGTTAACATTATTTATACAATGTTAGAGGTAACAAACTAATGAGATCCGAGTTTCAGTGGTTTTATTGTGAGTTTTATTGGGATCTGCTAAGGATGTTTTTGTTGTGTGTAGTCACAGGCTCCAACGTGTGCCGTGCCAACAATGGTGGCTGTAGCAGTCTGTGTCTGCTGACGCCCACTGGACGCTCCTGCGCCTGTGCCGATGATCAGATACTAGATACTGACAACAAGACCTGTAAAGGTGGGTATGTTGTGCTTTAAGTGGCCTGAAGTATAAATGTTACTGTGAATAACCTCAAGGAATTTTGAAAGGTCCTGTTTGGGATTTTGAGTTTGAAAATATTGTTGTTGTTTTTTTTTCTTGACAGCAAACCCTTCCTACGTACCTCCTCCTCAGTGCCAGCCTGGAGAATTTGCCTGTAAGAATAATCACTGTATTCAAGACCGCTGGAAGTGTGACGGGGACAATGACTGTCTGGACAACAGCGATGAGGCCCCTGAGTTATGCCGTTAGTGCCCTTTTGTCTCATATTTTCAGATATGCAAATAACAAAACCAGCATTCAAAAGCTTCTTTTTTTTTTAAATGTTTTTTTGAAAGAAGTCTCTTATGTTCACAAAGTCTGCATTTATTTGATCAAAGGTACAGTCAAAAAAGCAGTAATAATATGAAATATTATTATCATTTTAAATAACTTTTTTCTATTTTAATATATTCAATGTGATCAAAATACTGTATGATATGATCAAAAACATTTATTAATATTATCAATGTTGAAAACAGTCCTGATCCTTAATATTTTTTTTTCTTTGGAAACCATGATATACAGTGGTGTGAAAAGGTGTTGGCCCCCTTCCTGATTTCTTTTTTTTTGCATGTTTGTCACACTTTAATGTTTCAGATCATCAAACAAATTTAAATATTAGTCAAAGATAACACAAGTAAACACAACATGCAGTTTTTAAATGAAGGATTTTATTATTATTAAGGGAAAACAAAATCCAAAACTACATGGCCCTGTCACTTGTGTTATCTTTGACTAATATTTAAATTTGTTTGATGATCTGATACATCAAAGTGTGACAAACACGCAAAAAAATAAGAAATCAGGAAGGGGGCCAACACTTTTTCACACCACTGTATATTTTTTAAGATTCTTTGACAAGTTCAAAAGAACAGCATTTATTTAAAATAGAAATCTTATGTAACATTATGAATGACTTTATAATTTTTTATCGGATTCTTTCACTCACAGAATAACATAATCCGGTCTTAATCGTGGCATTAGTAACTGTAAATTTTTGCTTTTGTGATTCATACATCCATACCACTTGGTGTCCGTATAAATCAGGCTGTTATATCAGCCATCGAAGAAACCAAACATTACGGAGTGCACATTTAAATGGGCCTATTTGTCCTGTTTCAGACCAGCACACCTGTCCCGCAGACCGCTTTAAGTGCCAGAATAACCGCTGTATCCCCCTGCGTTGGCTTTGTGATGGAGACAATGACTGTGGGAATGATGAAGACGAATCTAACAGCACTTGCTTGGGTATTGTAAATGATTCATTTGAATGTTAATAGGATTTTAAGCATTTTTCAGATAAATGTTCAAGTACTTTGTGGTGTACACCAGCTTTTTTGCGCTTTGTTAATTGATCAGGTTTTATCTTCTCTCCCAGCCCGCACATGTCCTTCTAATCAGTACCCATGCGCCAGTGGCCGTTGTATTCCTGTCTCCTGGACATGTGACCTGGATGATGATTGTGGCGATCGCTCCGATGAACCACCATCTTGTGGTACCTAAATTTGAGCCTCTTTTCCTTTTGTCATCATGCCATGCTGACACTTCAAGAATGTTAATGTTTTTCCTCTCTCTTGTCTCTCTCTCCAGCATATCCCACCTGTTTCCCTCTCACTCAGTTCACCTGTGCCAATGGACGCTGCATCAATGTCAACTGGCGTTGCGATAATGGTGAGTTTCTAATGCTGTCTACAAAAAAAAAAATGCGTTTGTCACATCCTAACTTACAATGTCCAATAACCACCATTGTGTGTGTGTCCTCAGATAATGACTGCGGGGATAACAGTGATGAAGCTGGCTGCAGTCACTCGTGCTCTAGTGTACAGTTTAAATGCAGCAGCGGCCGCTGTATTCCAGAGTACTGGACCTGTGATGGAGACAACGACTGTGGAGATTACAGCGATGAGACTCATGCCAACTGTACCAATCAGGGTGAGTTTGGAAAAGTATAATTTTTAATAAACGAAAAGAGTTCTCATTCCAAACAGTTTTCTTAATTTTTGGCCAGTACGACTGCAGTCACAAACCAACATCTGATCCCAAACTAACTCACATCTACTGATTTCTTACTATTTATGTATTTGTTTGTTTGTTTGTTTGTTTATGATTTGACTAATGCAATGACTAATGCAACTGTGCTCTTCATTAACTGGAGTAAATCATGATTTCACAAACTGGGCTGTCATCTTTTTCTTTTTTTTGTGGCCTGTGGTGAAACACGTAAACCACAAAATCTTGAAGAATGTCTGTGAGGAGTGCAGGCAGTTAGAGTCCCTGTGGAGAGCAGTGTTAATGACTGCTCTGGGAACTGCTGTCTAGAGGGATTACACAAGCACTGATGTGCCAGGACGCTTGACGCATGAGCCGCTGGAGTATGCACACACGTGCATTTTTGTACATATCTCTCTCCTCATCTGTCCCCTCTCCACATGTCCCATTCATGTGGCTTCATAGCTGTTAATTGGTCAGTGGTTGGCTGGGCCCTGTGTGGATCAGGAATAGAGGGTTCTGGGCTCTGTCCTTCTCTTCTCTTCTCTTCTCTTCTCCCTATGGCATGCTGGTGCTTAATAGACTCACAGAATCAATGCAGGACGGATCAGAATTTAAAATATTTGTCAATATTTATATCAGCCTTTTAAAAAAAATAGAGGAGTGTGTTAAAGTAGCATAATAATTTTTGCTAAAGTATTTAAATAAATATTGGGATTTATTTATTATTTCTGCCTTTACTACATAAATTGTTTATTAGTACTATGTAACTGCTAACTTTTATATATTTTATTTTTGAATTCGTAAAATTAAAGGAAACAAAAAAAAACATGTCAGAAATGTTTTTAAAATAGAGAAGTGTGTCAAGTAGCATATACATTTTTGCTAAAATATTGAAATTGACAGAAATGTAATATTCCAGTCAGATTTCAGTACTGATATCGACTACTTTGAGTGTGCGTGTGTATGTGGTGTGTGTGTGTGTGTGTCTGAGAGAGAGAGAAAGAGAGAAACAGTGAATTCATGCAGCTCAAGCAGTATGATGTCATTCGGATCAGTTCACCCCAGTAGTTCCCTGTTCTAGGACACACTTCTCTCTGTTTACGGACGAGATCTGGTTTTCCGCTTTCCCCTCTTTAAACTCTGCCAGACACTAACCTTTGCCATGAGGGAAAGCCTTTATGTCCAATGCCTAATGATGGCCGTCACAGTGCCAGCCCTGGACCGCTGTTCATGAGAAAGTTTGATTTGGATCAGTTCATTGTGGTTGTGCCTCACACTGGTCATGATCACCATCCCTGGGGACTGATTTTTGACGTCAGGAAGCCAAGCTCTCATTACCATCAAATAATAAGATATGTGGCTGTGCCTTTGTATTAGTGTTTACACGGCTGCATTTTAATTGTGTGTCCCATTTCTGCCTTTGTCTGTAGCCACACGGCCTCCCGGCGGTTGCCACACGGATGAGTTCCAGTGCCGAATGGACGGCTTGTGTATTCCTATGCGATGGCGCTGCGACGGAGATACAGACTGCATGGACCTGAGCGACGAGAAGAATTGTGAGGGTGTCACACATATGTGCGACCCTGCCGTCAAGTTTGCCTGCAAAGACTCGGGTTAGTACACGCTTGGCTATCCTGAATGTTCTCACTCTTGTTTCAGGCAACCATGATAAATCAATGTCATGATAAATCAAAATATCACTACTTAAAAGCCCAAAATCAAAAGTTTTGTCAGTTTTAGTCTATGTTAGCTTTAACAGCATCTATATGCTAGTGTACTCCTTAAAAAAATAGCAGATTACACATTTACAAATTACGGTCTTCTAAAAATATTGATACTGTTGCATCTATCTTGCATATACCCATTTTCGTTCAGTAATATAATTCTGCCCTCCCCCGTTCTGTTATACAATGTTATACACCTGATGTGTAATATTGCTGTGCTGAAAATACAGTTTTTATTAATAAATTAAAAATGATAAATTGCAGCATGTTTGTAAGTGAATTCTGAATTTTGGGCCTAATTTTTTTTTGTTTCTTTGTGTGTTTTAGCTCGCTGTATCAGTAAGGCCTGGGTGTGTGACAGGGACAGTGATTGTGAGGATAACTCAGATGAAGAAAACTGCGAGGCTCTCGAGTGCAAGCTCTCTCACCATGTTTGTGCCAGCAACGACTCCATCTGTCTACCTCCTGAGAAACTGTGCGACGGCAAGGACGACTGCCCCGATGGCTCGGACGAGAAGCTTTGCAGTAATGCAAACACATTCAAAAACAAATACACTCAAGTTAAAGGAATATTTCACGCAAACTTTGTCATGTTTTACTCAACTTAATTTCATTTAGACATTTTTAATTGTTTCTGTGGATCACAAAAAACGAATGTTTGAATAATCACATAGGCTGCCATTCAAAAGTTTTAGGTCAGTAATTAAAAAAAAATTTTTTTTTTGAAAAATTAATTCAGCTAGGATGCATTAAATTGATCAAAAGTGACAGTAAAGACATTATGTAAAAATTATTATATTTTAAATGCTTTTTATTTGAACGTTATGTTCATCAAAGAATACTGAAGAAATGTCACATTTTACACAAAAATATTTAGCAGTCAGCCTTCATAATTAAACTGTTTCTTGACCACAGAGTCTGCATATCAGAATGTCTTTTGAAGGATCATGTGACACTGAACACTGGAGTAATAAATCACATTTTAAAAAATATTTAAGTAAAATTTTTTAAATTGTAATAATCACATGGACTACTTTTTTTTAAATTTGTTTATTTATTTGGTCTTATGTGGAACTTGACAGCCAGTAGATCCAGTAAAGATTTTTTTAAACATATTTTTTGTGTTCCATGGATGAATACCTTGAGGGTGAGTGAATATCAGAATTTTCACTATTGCGTGAACTATTCCTTTAAATCTTTCACGGTTGAACAGAGCATGCCAACTCAACTTGTGTTTCCCATTAGCATGACACAGAAATTTCAGGCTTGAATTCAATTGAAATAAGCACATTCTCTCCAACACATTCTTTTTGTTTTGACAGACTTGCAGCAAATAAATCACAAACACCCTTTCAATCCCACCTGCTTCTTACTTATCTGTTTTCGTTCTAGGTCTTTGCACGGTGGATAATGGAGGCTGCAGCCATAACTGTACCATCGCTCCTGGTGAGGGCATCCTGTGCTCCTGCCCAGCTGGCATGGAGCTGGGTACCGACAACAAGACCTGCCAGATTCAGAGCTTCTGTGCCAAGCATCTCAAGTGCAGCCAGCGCTGCGTGCAGGAGAAGGCCACTGTTAAGTGCGCCTGCTATGAAGGCTGGGCACTCGGGCCAGACGGCGAGAGCTGCAAGAGCACTGGTGAGGGAAAGACAGGGCGAATAAAGATACCTAGAATATTTACGTTTTACTTGATCTCTTGATGAAATGTACGGTACACTGGTGTATATAAAAGGGTGTCACTATGAAATAAATTGGTATTAAGAAGGCACAGTACAGTAATTTTATATCTAGGTAACAATATATGACAAAGTAGTTGTTTTTGCTGGAACTTTTGCAGATTGTGATTAAGCTATAGCATTTGTGCATTTATACTAAATGTTTTGCGACTACTGTTTTTCATACAAATACCTAGAAACCATATAGTTACATTTTTACCATGGTATTGAAGTGCTGTATGTGTGGTTTTAACTGAAGTTATCATGATCTAAATGTAGGCTATTATGGAAAACTCGAACTGTTTTCGATAATGAACATAAATTTACATAATAGTCAACTCAAGCTACTTAAAAGAAATAAAGATTTGAAATTTATCAGGATAATTATTAATATTGACTGATATGAAATTTTTTTTATTGTGATAATTTTTTGGGCCATATCAGCCAGCCCTTATGTTATGTTATGTCATGTCATGTGACTTTCTGGACTTTATGGAGTGAAACCAATATAAAGGATTAGCAGTGTGATGTCCTAATGTGCCATGTCCATGTTCTTTAGATCCATTCAAGCCCTTCATCATTTTCTCCAACCGGCATGAGATCCGTCGGATTGACTTGTACAAGGGCGAGTTCAGCGTGCTGGTGCCTGGCCTGCGTAACACCATTGCCCTGGATTTCCACCTCAACCAGAGTTCCCTCTACTGGACTGATGTGGTAGAAGACAAGATCTATCGGGGAAAGCTGTCGGAAAACGGAGGTAAATGAATGTGTTAGTCCTATGGGAGTGGTTGTTCCTAAGTCAAATGATTAGTTGTGAAGAATCTATTCTTGGTTAAATACAGCTCACACTTGCATGCTGTTGATTACAAGAGAAAACATTATAAGAGGCCTGCCATGCTATCGACAGAGTTTAAACTGTATTTAACCTAGAATATTTGAAGGACATGCCAGTTGTCTCAATTATAGTTTTATATTCTGTAAATAATTTATATATAAATATTATAATTTATATCTATATTAATTTATATGAAACACTTTTTTAAAATGACTCATATACACACGCACATTCACACAGTAAAATATATATATGTAAAATGTGTGTGTGTGTGTGTGTGTGTGTGTCTTTGGGTTAGGATTATAGTCACAAACATTATTTTTAGTTGGAAAACTTTGTTAGTTAAGTTAATAATGGCTTTGGGAGCTTCAATCACATTCTCTTGTTTTAAATACTTGTTTAAAGTTCTGAGTTGACTTTGTTGTCTAACTATGTTTTCCCACATTGTTCTGTTCTTTTCAGCATTTCAGAAGTTAGTCCATAATTATTACAACTATTTTCGGTTCACAAAACCACAGCGTGCGTCTAAGTGAGTCTGTGTGTGATCGTAGCACAGGAATTTGCAGACCTCTGTCTTTACCCATTTGACTCATTCCTAGTTTGCATGACTACAGCCAGAGTAAAAGTAAAGTGTCGGAAGCACCATGTTGCTTTGAAACATGTGGACACACCTCCCTCCTTCTCTAAACAGCTCTTTCCAGAGAATACGATACACTGTCCAAGTTTTGGATCCCTGCTGTCGTCTTTGACAGTGTAAAAATATGACTGATGTTGCTGCCAACACTGAAACAAAGTAACAAAGTGTTGTTTCTCAACCCCCAACAGAGAGGCTGCGCTGTCTCCAGCCCAACAGAGAGCCATTCTGGACCTTTAATTACTGCTCTGTATGAGAGTCTCTCTCACAGATGAGAGAGCAGCTTGCCTTGATTGAGAATTATTTTTTTCTCTTCCACATGGCTGTAGCTCAGAGTGGGGGAATATTTATTGCAGCATTGACTTATATGGCTTTCAGGTTGGAAGCCATCAAATGATTTCTTGGCCAATATATACAGTCTGAGACCATTGGTAAAAATGCTTCCACTTTGCATTTTTTATTTTAATACACCTTTTTCATTATAAAATGTATTATTTGTATGACAATTTGATGAAAAGTTGAACTGAGAAATTTAAATGAATTTCAGATTGTCAGGTTTTTCCTCCTTTTGCAGCACTTGAGCTGCATGAACTCCACAAGTTTGTGTGAAACGTGATGATCATGTTCTCCAGTTTGATTTGAAATGATACAAAGAACATTTTGCGCTTCAATGGAAGCAAGAACATCTGACCGTCTCTACAAAAAGTCACATGATCAGTCATAAATTTTCTTATTTGATTAGTGACCTAGAAATAGTGCAGAGTCTTACATATTTCTTAAGAGATGCACAGTATATCAGCACTGTATTTATTGCTGGCCAATATTAAAGATTCTTTTATTTATTTCTTGGTATCGGTTGATATTCAATATGTAATTGTGCATTTTTATTTCACACAATTTATTTTTTAATTTAAATTGCCTTTAAATCATCTAGGTGTCGCTTACATTTTTAAAAACACTAATAATTTAATAATTACAAAATACATATTTTAATAACACTGTTAAATATAGTCTTTAGCAAATCTCAAAATAAATGCCAATATTGATACTAGCATTATAGTGTTATGTAAAATTGATTTGTAGTGTTTAAAATGATTAATTTAAATGTTTTAGTGTTTTATATTTTAATATAATTAGACAAAAAAGTATAGGTGTTATCACATTATTAAAATGTTTAATGACTTATCAGTTTTGGCCAGAATTATAATATTGGATCCATAATTTCTTTGGTTAAATTTTCTTGGTACATTTTTCAACCTCCTAAACCTTTTATTTCTAGGTTTAACTTGGATTCCCATTAATTGTCCTGGTCTTGGTGTTTCAGCTCTCACCAGTTTTGAGGTGGTGATTCAGTATGGTTTGGCCACTCCAGAGGGTCTAGCTGTGGACTGGATTGCAGGAAACATCTACTGGGTGGAAAGTAACCTGGATCAGATTGAGGTGGCCAAGCTGGATGGTACCATGCGTACAACGCTACTAGCTGGAGAGGTGGAGCATCCGCGCGCCATTGCACTTGACCCAAGAGATGGGTAAAACATGTTATACTTTGACAGTTCTTTTATTTTTCAGTGATATTAATGATATCAACTTAAGTTGTTACAAGCAATGTCTCTTTCCCCCCCCGCCCCAGTATTCTGTTCTGGACAGACTGGGATGCCAGCTCCCCCAGGATAGAGGCTGCATCTATGAGTGGGGAGGGCCGTCGCACCATCCACAAAGAGACTGGGAATGGTGGCTGGCCCAACGGTCTCACTGTGGACTACCTAGAGCGCCGTATACTGTGGATCGATGCCAGGTATTGACACTAAAAGTGAAGTAAAGTGCAAAAGTGTCCACAGTAAGTAACCTTGATGTCTTTAGATCTGATGCCATCTACTCTGCGGCTTATGACGGTTCCGGCCTGATCGAGGTGCTCCGGGGTCATGAACACTTATCACATCCCTTTGCCGTCACCATGTATGGAGGAGAGGTCTACTGGACAGACTGGCGGACCAACACTCTGGCTAAAGCCAATAAATGGACGGGACACAATGTGACGGTGGTCCAGAGAACAAACACTCAGCCGTTTGATCTTCAAGTGTTTCATCCTTCTAGACAACCTCAGGGTGAGAACCAGCATGAGCTGAAGTAATATGTCAAAAAACTCTCAGGAACATTTTTATTATGCTTCGTGTTGTGTTTTAAAAGCTGTGAACACCAGTGTTGTTATTGTTAACTAAACCTATTAAAAATCATTTTCTTTAACTGAAATAAAGCTGAAATGAAATATAAATACTAGATTAAAAACTTTAACTTAAACTTGAGCTAATATCAGAAATTTTACCTAAAACTAATTTAAAATGAAATTAAAACAAAATATAAATTTATTAAAATTATCTTAAAATAAAAGCTTCTAAAATTTTAAATAAATACTGTAATCCTATATAAAAAAATATGAAAATAACACTAAAATAACACTGGAGAACATTTTCTTCCTCCTTTGCAGCTCCCAACCCGTGTGCGGCGAATGACGGGAAGGGGCCGTGCTCGCACCTGTGCCTCATCAACTACAACCAGACCTTCTCCTGTGCCTGTCCACACCTCATGAAACTCAAGCCAGACAAGCACACCTGCTACGGTAGGCTCCTCCTCCCTCAGCCCTAAGATCCAATCAAATGTCATGCTTTAGTTGTTAGCAAGTTTGAATGGAATACCATTTTACTAATTACTGAATACTGCACAATATATTACATTTCCCATGATCTTGGCATTGCAAACGACATACTTTACTGTTTGAGCAACAGGAACCACATAAATACGTTGTACTAAAAAACAGTTACATTATTCCACAATATACTGCCACATGACTTCAGTATGTTTTATTTATCAAATGTATTAACAATGGCTGCTGATATTATTTCCATTTTAATCCACCATAGTGCAAATGGGAGGTCAAGCGCATTGCATTGTGAGAGACAGTATTCCATGCAGTAATCTCTTTTGTTCTGCATGTTTTATGGAATGTATTAGATCACCCAGGTATTCCACATACTGCAGTAATAGTAAATTATTTGGAACATAACCTAAAGCCCGACTTGCAGTTTAAGTGAGTAGTAAGCAAAATCGCAAAGCCACAGACCTCCTTGCTGTGTTCTCTTTGTGTTAGCAACTAGCTAAATCCATTAACATTTCATTATTACTTCACTTTTAGGTTTATACATTTAAAAACTATTGTGGCAGCTTCAGTCTTGTATAATAAAAATCTTTCAAGCATTTTTCTTCATTTGAAGAGCATTAGCGAGAATTAGCTTCTAATGCATTCATGTGGTTGTACAATTAGAAAGTCCACAGAAAAAAAAAAATCATATTTTGGTTGACAATTTTTCAGTTTACTATTATTTAAATGCAGCAATTCTTATCTCACACAATTCAGTACAGATAGTATATGAATTACGGCACAGCATTAGGCTTTTTCTTTTAGATTCCTTTTGCGTTGGCGGTAGATCCTCAATGTTAGATTTTTCAGGTCGGGCTGAATGTTAGTAGTCTTGTGTGGGCTGTAAACCTCATTTAACCGCCAAGAAAACAACAGTGCACCCTGCCGCCCAGATGCACGATCAGTGTTTAGTATTCAGCAGCACAGCCTCCAGTATGGCTGTATGGAGAGCAGAGTGATTGGAGTAGAGGACCTGTAGTTTCAGTGATGAATTAACACTGACATTAGATAGTGGCAAACACAGGAGTAAGAACCACTCTTCTGTTCAGGCTAATCGATATAGAGACTGTAGTCTTTTCTACTACTCTTTGATCTTTACTGTATATTGTATTTATATATAAAAACTAATGACTATAACTTAACAATAGCATATATTATATTTATATATATATACATATATATATATATATATATATATATAAATGCTTTATTTTTGCACATTACATGCATTTATATCTAGTGACATTGTCTGTTTTTCTTGTCCAGAGTGCCGTCAGTTCCTGCTGTATGCTCGTCAGATTGAAATCAGAGGGGTGGACATTGATAATCCCTATTACAACTACATCATCTCTTTCACTGTGCCTGACATTGACAATGTTACAGTGGTGGATTATGATGCTCTGGAGCACCGCATCTACTGGTCTGATGTTCGCACTCAGACGATCAAAAGAGCCTTCATCAATGGGACTGGTGTGGAGACTGTGGTATCAGCTGGTGAGATAATAGTTTGAGCTTCAAAAGTGTAGACTCTTAAGTATACACGGGCCCCAAAACGTAAATGAACACTTAAAAATTGAACTTCATTGCTTTAGATAGCAACTGACAGGCTTCTTCAATCTTTTCTTTTCCCATTTTTTCCCCCAATTACTTTTAGCCATCTGATCTTCTGATCATTTTTAGTGGATGAGTGAAGTCAGTTTCCAGTTAACTATGGTCATGGTCCATTATGCTTGATGATCAGAAATTTTAAAAACTACTTTTTGGCTTCATTTTAAAAGTGCCATAGAATGGAAAACTTTATTTACCGTTGACATAGTTGAATAATAACAGTTCTGTACATGGAAATGACATACCGTGAGCCTCAAACAATATTGTTTCCTCCTTCTTCTGTAAACCTCGTGCATGTAAAAGACCACTGAAAAACAGGCAAATCAGAACATAACACAGACTGTGACGTTACAATCGGATCACTAATAGTTACGCCCCCCACATTTGCATATACTCGCCCATGTTCTAGGCCAGCCGGACCTCTTGGACCTGCACAGCCGAATCATCAGAAGTTCTGCAGGTATTGTGAAGAAACAAGCGAGGATAATAGCGAAAATGGCAGATCATGGAAATAAATGTTATGTTCTAGGCTGTGCAGGGGATGTGATGTGCAGGGATGGGTTGGTGTCTGTATTCAGAAAGGCACGGAAAGCAAATAACGCACGTTCTAATAAAATAACGCTAGCCACTAAAGGGACATGTTAGCTGCTTGCTAGCGGCAGCCTGTTACATTACAGTACATAAGATTTCACTTACCACATAAACAGAGTAAAGAGAGATGACTGAGGATGATGGCGACTGATTTACAGATCCTGAGCACCACTGACAAGCATCTGATCTTGTAAAATGTGTGGTAAGTACTGCCGCTGTAGTTTACACAG